CCCCAAAGAGAAGAGGCCCTCGAGCTAGATACTGTTGTCATGTTTCGTTTACAGACGAGAAATGGAGGCACAGAGAGACAAAGTGAATTTCTCCAAGTTTTGTAGTGAGTATGTGACAGACCAGAAGCTTGAGCCCACACCATTAACCGCCATACTGGTATTCTTACCAGGAAACAGTCTGAGACAAATTCACCAGTGAGCTGTCTATCATTTGTCAGCTGTGACCCCGATTGCCAAGGGCACAAAAGAAGCCTTCAGTGGTTCTAGGCCAGCAGTTTCCATTAGGTGAGGACGATCTCTCCTTACACCTTTCCAAAGTCCACAGGTACAGCTTATGTGTGAGGGGAGAGTTCCTGCTGTGGGATGGTGTCCTCCATGACTGCTGGACATCAGTCATCTCCTGTCTGCCATCCAGGTCTCCTCCTCGACCTCCAGTGGAGCTGTTTTCTGGGTGGTGTTTGGTTGGGTCACAACTTGATTGGAGGATGACTGAAATAAACAAGACAGCCAGCATCCCATATCTCTCTTGCTCCCCAGTGATCAGACCAGCGTGCTGCTGCTTTAGCTAGTTCTCTGCCTCAACCTGTGAGCTGCACTACCTGTGGGCCAAGCCAACCATGGATCTTGTCACTAGAGCTTGAGGCTCCTTCGAGACCTGCTTGGCCACGCTGCTTGAGCTTGAGGCTGGTGGATGCTGTGGCCCTGTTTGAGTTCTAGACCTCATCAAAGCATACCTTGATAAGCTCCCGAGATACTGACTGTTGCTGACCCACCCTGCTGCTTCCTGCCTTCAGACAGACTCTGCTTGCCTTGCCGGAGGGGAAACTCTGCTGTCTGCTTCCTTGACCTTTGGCACAGCAGCCCATGTGAGTTGGAGGACTTCCAGGCTACTAACTGTTCCACAAAAGTGAGTTGAACTAAACCCTCTGCACTGCTTCGTGGGCTAATTAGCCATTATATTCCTTCTCACTGTATAAACCTATTTATCTTTCTAACTATATCATAAGTGTCCTGATTTTGTTTCTCTAGAGAACCCTGCCTAACACACTTTACATCCCTACATATCCCTGTATCTATATATCCATGTATCTATATATATAGATATAGATATCTATCTATCTACATGGATATATATAGATATCTATATATAGATATAGATATCTATCCAGAGATCTATCTATCTATCTATCTATCTATCTATCTATCTATCTATCTAGACATTAGAAACCCCCCTCAGTATTAAACAATGGTTATGCCCTGGAAGTGAAATGTTATCTATATATAGTTTATCTTTATATAATGACTGGTGGTACAATGGTTAAGCCCTTGACTTCAAAGGTCAGTGGTTCACACCCATCCTGTGATCTGCTCCCATAAAAACCACAGCCCAAGAAACTCTGTGGGGAAGTTCTAGTCTGTCACATGGGATTGCTTTGCTATGGAATTAATTGTTGACAAATTGACTGGGTATCTCTTTTGCAATCAGAAAAAAATGTTAATTTAACACAAACCACATTGAAAACTGAGTAATCTCAAATTTCATTCAAAGAAATGGAGATGAAAAACGTGTTTTCTGGCTCCTAAAGAAATGAGGAAATATGAGGTAAAAGAGGAATTTTCCTGCAGAGCATGTCTTGTGGTTTCTGGGCTCTCCTGGGTGTGTCTGGAAGGGCCTCAGTTGCCTGGCAACAGGCCTCCATACAACAGAAGTGGAGATGTGGATGTCACAGATCCTCCACAAAATCAGTGGGCCCTCAGGTGAATGGAGTGTGTTTTGAAAAGAAACCAGGTATTTCTAAATTTGCTATGGTCCACTTCTCTCAGTGTGTTGTTGATTGTGGGAACCTAACACTGAGGAAAATATGCCGAGGACTATGTTCCCTAACTTAGAACAGAGGGAATCTGGAAAGCTGGTATTCCACGGTAGGAAAGCATCCACTTTAGTAAGTTAGAGGTAAACTCCAAGTACATGATCCTGCTTTAAATATCATTCCCACAGATTCTCCCCTAACAGCGATGCTGCCTTAAAGTGAGCATCTGGTTGATTACATCTCTATAGAAGCAGACATGATCCTTTTTCTCTCTCCCCCCTACCCCTACCCGTGCCACCCAAGCCCCCTTGTACCTTCCCCAATGCAGGTATTAGGTTTCCTCATCTGTGAGCTCAGGACCCTAATGTAGATATCACCCACCTTGTGACACGTGTAACTACTGAATATGCATGTCTTAAGGCTACCTATAAATGTCCCAAGATAGCAAAGATGCTCTCTCACTTCTCCCAGCTTCACGTGGTCCATCAAGAGGAGCTGAGGGGAGCATGCGACCATAAGATGTGTCTGACTCCTTTAGCGTATTCTCTCTCCTCTCTCTCTTTTCCTCTATGACTTTGCTAGCTTTATATATTATCGCCGGACATTTGCACCTTCGGTTGTTGGAACCTGGATCCCTCTGACAGTGATTGCGAATACACACTGCAAAGCAAATGCCAACTCATTTCTACATAGACAGGTCCATGACTTTGAGGGCATTCCCCCCACCTTTTCTGGGTTCTTTCTCCCCCATGGACATAAATTCACAGGCGTTCCTCCCCCAGGTTCCTACCTAATCTTTCTGCTTACTGCTTTGGTTCCACGTAGAAAATAGTTCTTCAAAGAGTGGAATGCTCGCAACCAAGTTTTCTTATTAGTTAAGCCAAATGTTTGTTCAGGAAGGCATCAGGTGATCTTTTGGGTTTAAGGTTTAGATCATCTCAGGGAAATAGCCTCAGGGGTTCATGTTGCATTCAAACTCCAGAAAGTGAGGAATTCATGAGAACTTGAAAATTTCCCCCTTTTGATCAGGATTTGTTTATAGAGTTCTTGATCAAAATATTCAGAACCAGGGGTTGGTGGGGCAGGGGTGGAGGGGGTGGAGGGGTGGGGAGAGGGAAAAATGAGGAACTGATGCCAAGGGCTCAAATAGAAAGTAAATGTTTAGAAAATGATGATGGTAACATATGTACAAATATGGTTGATGCGATTGATGTATGGAATGTTATAAGAGCTGAAAAAGCCCCCAATAAAATGATTTTTAAAAATTCAGTAACAGTAGTGGGGCATCCTCCAGTTCTCCTGGTCTCATGGCAAAGGGAGGAGTTGTTCATGGAGGCAATTAGCCACACATTCCCTATCCCATTCCTGTTCCCGACTCTCCTTCCTCTGTTTTCCAGGCAAACAGAGACCCATGGTGCTGTGGACAGCTGTAATCTTTTAAGATCTCAGGCACTGCACATCAAACAGAATAGAAGCACTAAACAGCCCATTAGCTGGGATGTCTCATGAAACCATGACTTTAAACTTCCACACCAAAGGGGCAAATCCCTTTAGGTGTGTGGTTGCCCGAAAGCAGCCTCCACAACTGCTTTGTGTGCGAGTGTCATTATAAATCTATCCATCACGTAACTTTTGCTGGTTCAACTTTTTACAGGTATCCTCTATGACTTTAAGACCTTCCTGCAAGAGGAAAGTAAAAGGGAACAGAGGAAAGAGCAAGGAGGCAAAGGGAATTTATAGAGGTCTAAATATAGGCATGTATATATGTAAATATATTTATATATGAGGATGTGGAAACAGATCTATGTGCATATATTTATAGGTTTAGTATTACGGTAGCAGATGGACATTGGGCCTCCACTCAAGTACTCCCTCAATGAAAGAATACTTTCCTCTATTAAACTGGCATTCCATGATGCTCACCTTGTCGACATAATCGCTGAAGACAAAGCGGGTGCATAAGCAAATGTGGTGAAGAAAGCTGATGGATCCCGGCTATCAAAAGATATAGCAGCTAGGGTCTTAAAGACTTGAAGGTAAACAAGGGGCCAAAAAAAAACCACACACACAGAAAAACACCAAGCAGCCATCTAGCTCAGAAGCAACAAATCCCACATGGAAGAAGCACACCAGCCTTTGCGATCACAAGGTGTCAAAGGGATCAGGTATCAGGCATCATGAGAACAAAAAATCATATCATTGTGAATAAGGGGGAGTGCGGAGTAGAGACCCAAAGCCCATCTTTAGGCAATTGGACATCCTTTTGCAGAAGGGTCTTGGAGAGGAGATGAGCCAGTCAGGGTGCAGTGTAGCAACGATGAAACATACAACTTTCCTTTAGTTCCTAGTTCCTAGCTCTTTAATGCTCTCCTCCCACCCCCCACTATCATGATCCCAATTCTACCTTACAAATCTGGCTAGACCAGAGGATGTACACTGGTACAGATAGGAACTGGCAACATAGGGAATCCAGGGCGGATGATCCCTTCAGGACCAGTGGTGTGAGTGGGGTTACTGGGAGGGTGGAGGGAGGATGGGTTGGAAAGGGGGAACCGATTATAAGGATCTACAGATAACCTACTCCCTGAGGGACAGACAACAGAAAAGTGGGTGAAGGGAGACATCGGACAGTGTAAGATATGACAAAATAAAAATTATAAATTATCACGGGTAAATGAGGAGGGAGGGGGAAAAATGAGGAGCTGATGCCAGGGGCTTACGTGGAGAGCAAATGTTTTGAGAATGATGAGGGTAACAGATGTATAAATGTGCTTTACACAATTGATATATGTATGGATGGTGATAAGAGTTGTATGAGCCCCCAATAAAATGATTTAAAAAAAGGAAAGAGATCACCAACAGCCAAAAAAAAAAAAAAAAGACAGACTGAATCATCCTTTATGGCTCTGAGGCTGTGCATCTTTACAGGTGCATATACTCTCAAGGAGCGTGTCCCACAGCCCAGCAATGAATCGGACTCCACTGTCTCCAATGAGCACACAAGCTGGGAGCTTCCACAGTGGTTATTACAAAACTGCATCTAAACAGAATGCGACTTGTGTCTAAGGTATAAAGAGCGGCCAGGGAGCAACGTAGGAAACTATCCATTAGGATTTAACGCTAACGATGTTTGAGTGCGAACAAGGGAGAGATGGGTAAGGGCGAGAATGAAAACACTGCATGGCTGGATTTAGGAATGACACCTGCTTTATTATTATTATTACACTTGTTTTGCAAGCTTTTATTATTATTACATTTGTTTTTCAAGCTTTCAACCCCAGCGCTTACTGGAAAAAGAACGCCGCTCCCATGGCCCAGGCTCTCCAGGTTGGCGGAGGCAGGAACTTTGGGGTCCTGGGAGGGGATATTTGAGTCCATCTGAAAGGGTCGAGTCGTCTGTCTGTCTGTCAAGAGTGTTCACTGACTAGTACTGTAGAAACCAGCCCCTCTGTGCTTACGCTCCATCATGCAGTATAAACTAGAGCCTGCATCTTCCTCCCCAAACTCTGTCAGCACAAACCCATAGGCATAGTGTGGTGGTCCCTGGTGGGACAGAGTTGCATTCTGGGAACCAGACAAGTGGAGGCGGACCCGTTAGAGTAGGTAGATGGTTCCTCAGACTGGAAAGGATGGTCCCTATGTGAGAGGTACCAGAGTGCTCTCTGTTTCTATCGCTGGGCCCGAGGGCAGGGGGAGACCTGTGGGGATGTCTGCTAGCAATCAGGCTGAGAGGGTAGGGAGAGTCCTCCGGGGAGAGGGCCAGCAATGGGAATCTGTAGACAGGGCCACAGGAGGGTCTCAGAAGCCAAGCATTTGAGTTTGGACTTGGGGCCGTTCAAAGTGCCTGGGAAATCCTTCCTGGTTTGGGGACATGGTTAAAAAGTTGCAGAGCTTTTAAAAAAGAGGAGGCTGGCAGTTTTCATATGCTGGCGTGTTTAGACAAGGGACTTGGGACTGGGTACATAGTAACATAGGTGGACAGAGCTTGTGTCTGCTCAGAATAGCATGCATTCTCCACTGTCTGAAATATGTCTCCCTCCACCTTTAATAACAAGCAGCTAGCATCTTATTTATCATTTCTATGGGGATACTACTTCTTGGCCAGCGATTGACACCTGAGGCAAACGGGACCTATCAGCGTCCTTCCTTGGGCATTTTGATCTTAGAACAAGGAAAGGGTGGATCTCAGTCCATGTTTTTGATTTATTTTATTGTTGTTGTCGAGAATATCCAGAGCAAACCATAAACTAAGCCCAACAACTTCTACACATGCTGCTCAGTGACACGGGTGACATTCTGTGAATGTGTTCCATTCATTTCCACCATCTTTCTGGTTCTTCCTCTCCCACTGACATCAGCTCACTCTCCCTTAAGGTTCCTCTCCTATCTCTCAGGTTGCTATTGCTGACAGCTCCTAAAGGAGCATACTGCTCAAGGTGGGCACGCTTTATTAGTTAAGTTAAATGGTTGTTCGCTTTTAAGAAGACTTCGGGGCACATTTCTGGCTTACAATTCAAAGGATATCTCAAGGCAATAGTTTCAGGGACTCATCTACCTTGCAGGGCTCCAGAGACTCGACAGTCCATGAGAATTTGGAAACTTAGTCCCCTTTGATGATAAAGCGGTGATATGGGAGTCTGAGCTATCTAACTCATAGACTGGAGAGGGAGAAGGAAGACATTGTAGCCAACTTTGAGCCCTGGTTGGCAGTCACCCTGAAGCCCTGGTCTCCTCATTGCCCAGTCCACAGCGTGAACAACCCTCACCACCTCCTCTTAGCTAAGTCAGTCTGGGTTGAATTTCTGACAAACCTCTTTTGGCTTGTCAGTGGCAAACAGAAAAATTCCCAATGTTCGTAGGAAGAGACGTGTCTCTCCTTCTTCGAGTGGGTGAACACCATCCCCCCCAAATACTCTAAGGGTTGTTTTGTTTTCATGGCCTTGGGATTGTCATTTCTTGCCTGTAAAACACACACACACACACACACACACACACAAACTGCCGTCCGTGCGGACTCAGCAATGCCAACCTTCCTATAGGGACATGGTCTGGGGGTTCCTTTCAGAGATGGATCGATGTCTCCCCATCACTCGTGTAGTGGGTAAAATTGCTGCTCAGACCGCTCTCCCGCCGGCTTATTTGCAGTTCTGACAGGGTGACATCGACCCGGAGTGAACGGCCGCACAAGACAGCCAGGCACTTCCTGTAGAGGTGGGAAAGGTATCTTCTGAACTTCTCTCCGGCAAAGGCGTAGATCAGGGGATTGAGGCAACAGTGGCTAAACGCAATCGTCTCGGTCACGTTGAGAGCCCACCTGAGCTCCCTCTGGATGTCACAGCTGGGGAAGAAGTGGTAGAGCTTGAGGGTCTCCAAGAGGACCATCACGTTGTAGGGGGTCCAGAAGAGGAAAAACACAACCACCACCAGGAAGATCAGCTTAATGGCTTTCGCTTTCTTGTGGTTCTTGCAGGTCAGCAGTGTCCAGATGATGCGGAAGTAGCAGAAGCCCATGATGAGCAGGGGGAGCAGGAAGCCGAGGCAGTTGGCTTCCACGTTGCGCAGCAAGGGCCACACATCCTGGAGGATCTCGGGGTAGTCGCCCAGGCATTCGCCGTCATTCTGCTTGGTGAACATGAACTGGGGGGCCGCCACCAGAATGGCCGCCGCCCACACGCTCAGGCTGACGATGACGCCGTGCTGCACTGTGCGGTTGCGCATGGAGTTGGCGGCCAGGACAATGGCCAGGTATCTGTCGATGCTGATGACGGTGATGAAGAAGATGCCCCCGAAAAAGCCGATGAAGAAGAAGGCTGTCACGAGTTTGCACACGGCGTTGGTGAAGCCTTGGTCGCTGAGCACGTAGTGAGTCCAGAAAGGCAAGGTGGCTACAAAGAGCAGGTCGGACAAGGCCAGGTTCAGGAGATAGACGTCGGTGATGCTCTTGGCTTTGCGGCTGTTGCTGAGGGCCAGCACCACCAGCACGTTTCCCACCAGGCCAAAGGCAAAGACAAAGGAGTAGAAGACGGGCAAGTAGACAGTCCCGGAGGCCACGATGTCCCCCTCATAACAGGCTTCAGCATCGTCGTCGTACTGGAAGCTTTCTGGAGTCGGCTCAGCAGAGGGGATGGACATGGCGAGAGCCTGGATCAGACAGGAAGGCAAGCGACGCGTTAGTTCACCGGCTTGGGATTCTCTCCAGCCTTGTACACACAGATGGACAGAGAAAAAAATATTGGTTGGGTACGATGTACATGGAGGAGCCCTGGTGGCATCATATCATGGTGACAGGCCAGGCTGGACCCTGCAAGGCCAGCAGTTCAAAGCCACCAGTCACCCCTCTGGAGGAAGATGTCCCTCTCATGAGTTACAGTCTCAGAAAGTCACAGGGGCAGCTCCACCCTGTCTGAGAGGGTGTATTTATGACCCAAGTGGTCTGTGCTAACTGCTCACCTCAACGTGAAGGTTAGCTGGTTGGACCCCAGCCCCAGCGGTACAGTGGAAGAAAGGCCTGACACTCTGTTTCCATTCAGGTGACAGTTAAGCCCAGCCTCCTGGGTCCAGAACACGTGGGGCCACCCAGAGCCCAGAGCTGACATCAACTTGACAGCAGCCACAATCCACCCCAGGGTTTCTCCCACGTCACACCCGGCACGCTGTTGATTCCTCCCAACCCTCTTGTGATGGGAGCTGTCACACAGTCATCTGACAGACGAGGAAGCCAGGTCTCTTGGAGGCTTGCTGACTTACTCCAAGCCACCCGGAGAAGGGCTCCACTCCCACGGGATTCGAGATCTTTGGGAGCTTGAGCCGCAGCTTTTCTGCCTTGATTTTCAAAAATCTTTCTAAGAAGGTGAGGGGAGGGAGTTTAGGACCGGGAGGTGAAATGGAGGGGAACCTGTCCAACAGGATGGGCACCATGAGAACACCGACAGGTGGTGAGTGAGGGGCAGCCCATGCCACCGGGCACTGTGCATAAACCCACTGCCATTGAGCCGATTCGGACGCACAGGGACCCTACGGAACAGAGCGGAACTGCCCCGTGGGTTTGGAGACTGTAAATTGGTAGAGGAGCGCACAGTCCCACCTTTCTTCCTAGTGGTTTTCTCGGCTGCTGGCTGTGACCCACAGACCTTTTGGTTAGCAGACTAGTACCTCACCCATAACCACCAGCACGTCAAACACGACATAGACCACAAACAAACAAACACACCCTCACTGCTGTCGAGCCAATGCCATCTCTTAGAGACATCGTTGGACTGGGTAGAACTGCCCGCTGTGGATTTCTTGGACCGACCCTTTTCAGGAGTAGAATGCCTCGGCTTTCTCCCTTGGAGCAGCTGGTGGTTTCGAACCGCTGACCCTGCGGTTGTCAGCCAAACACGTAACCCCTATGCAATCAGGGTTCCTCACCGAGATGTATAGAGAATGTTAAATGCGATCTAACTGGCTGTGTAAACTCTCACCAAAAACACGATTGAAAAAAAGAGAAAGGAATCTTCCCCAAAGCCAGCTTGATGGGCGTGTGAGCAAGGGAAGAGAAACTAAGAGCAGGTGTGGGATTGCAGCCAGGAGTGACACTTCGTAGCAACTCTCTCCCCTTCCTCTGGTGGCACTGCGTTGAAAGCACTGGGCGGCTGGCTAACTGCCACATGGGTCCAAAGCCACCAGCCCCGCGTCAGAAGAAAGAGGAGGCTGTGTGCTCCTCTAGAAACTTACAGCCCCGGAAACCTTACAGAAGGGTGTTGTGAGTCAGCATGGACCAGAGGGCAGCAGGTTTGGTGTGGGATTTTCCTTTGATGCTCCCGGTTAGAGAACTATCTCACCCCTTTCTCCACGTTTTCAGCCGACCATCATCCCTGGCCCTCATCCTTGCTTTCCGACTCCTTCTCTTGGGACCGGTGAGTGCTTTTCTTGCCCAGCAGAGATCAGGCACACAGTCAGTCAGCATACGGTGACTAACTTGCGCTGGTTGGCACAGGATGTTCCTGGTTTTCATACTGAAAGTTTCCCATACCAGAGACCCCTCAAGCCCATGGCCAACCCGGTGATTGCGTCTCCCCACAACCCCTGGTGTGACAGAATGGAGCTGCTTCCAAAGACTCTCTTGTTGGAAATCTTAGGGAAGGAGACCTTTCTTTCCTGGAGCCTCTAGGTGGGTTCAAACCTCTAACCTTTCACTTGGCAGCCCAGCGCTCCCAGGGACCTGGGGACTGTCAGTCTCAGGCAAATGGACAGGGGTAGTCACCCGGCAATCCCCAGCTGGGCTGGAGAGGAAATATTGCCATCGTCTGGTGCTGACTGAACCAGGACGGAGGACAATGCTCGGTCAGCCTACTTGGGAAAGGAACACGCTGGACTCCAGCGCTGGCCCCTAGGGCTGGCCCACCATTTCTTATTGCTTGTTCTGCGCAGGCTTTGAATGGGAAGGCTCATCTATCCGGGTTAGGAAGTGAAAGGGTGCCCTGGTGGCACGACGGGTTAAGCACAGCCCTCCCATCCCAAAGGTCCATCACGTCCACCAAGCTGCTGTACGGGCGCACGATGGGCCAGTCTGCATCCATACACATCTGCAGTTTGTGAGACTCGATGGAGCGGTTCTGCCCTGCCCTGGGGTTACTGTGCGTCAGCATGAACTCCACGGCAGTGAGTTTGGTTCAGGGAAGCAGAAACGGTCTCATTCTCTCTGTCTTTCCAGCCTTAATTGGCTGCTCACTTACCCCAGGGCCTAAATGGCAGCTTGTTCACGCTGGTCCTCTGAGTGTCTCCTCTGGCTCAGTGCAATGCTGCAGATAGGCCCTCGGAAACACGAATGTGCTCAGAGTTCATGCTGCCTCCCTCGCCACCACCAGGAAAACCAAAGCCTACACTTGTTTCACCAAGGGAGTGTTCACACCTTGCACAGACGCGGCGTGAATTAGGGCCTCTGCGAAGCCGGCTGAGTATCCCTCGCCTGATGGCAGGATGGGGTCCCACCCACCCAGAGCTTAGTTTCTCTTTATCCAACCTCTGCCTTGGGTACGATGGGCCCGTCTCCCTCCACCCCTTTCTGCCCGATGTGACCCCCAGGTTCTACAATGTGGCCCCCAAGGACTGGAATAGAATGCTCAACTCCAGGGAAACTGTATGAAGTCTTTGTTCTGGGCTGGGAAGCCCTTTCCCACAGAGAGGAACCTTGGGCCATGGCCTCAGTCAGTCAGACTTCAATGGAACCGATGGCGATACAACCATTTCTGAGCTACAGGAACGTGAATTCCCTGTGGTTCCAACAGATTGCTAGCCAGGGCAAAGAGAATTGTTAGTTGGTGCATGTAGGTTTCTGTAGAGGCTTTATCTCCCCAGACAAGCTGCTGTGGAGGAGGGCAAAGAGGCTCCAGCTAGGTGGGTATTAGTGAGGCGCTCAGATGGGAGTCTTCCCCACCCACCCTAGGTGAAAAGAGCTGGCCAAAGCTGGCCTGAAGGGCAGACCAAAGCCAATAAAAACGTTCTGCGTGGCCTGCCTGTAGTTATTCTTGCAGGTCAGGCACTTCATGGTTTTACATTGATTTGGTTTTGCCAAATATCAGAGAAAACCAGCCTCTGACAACCGAGGGGTCCTTTGGCGCAATTGTATGGCAATCATATATAAAAATCACAGTAATGTCATAGAATATAGGAGAGATAGCAGTGAGAGTAAAATGAAGGAGTCAGGCACATTTCATAGTAGCAGGCTCACCTCCGGGATGCCATGATCTCAGCAGCCAGGTCCTCGCAGAGAGAGAGAACGTCTTTACTGTCTTGGGATAGTTACAGGTAGCCATAAGGCATGCATATTCAGGAGTTACATACGTCACAGGTGGGTGGTAACCACAAGAAAGTCCCTGAGCTCACAGGTGAGTAAACCTAATACCTGCATTGGGGGAAGGAATGAAGGGGGATGGGTGCTACAGCGGGAGGAGATAACAACAACATCTGCTTCTACAGGGAGATAGAACCACCATGTGCTCACTTTAAGGCGGCATGGCTGTAAGGGGAGAATCTGGGGGAATGATATTTAATGCAGGATCATGCACTTGGCGGTGGAAATGACTAGAGATTGTATGATACACTCATGGAAGACCAATGATTTAAAAGTTGAAGCCACTGAAGAAAATATTCACGTTTCGAGTTGCAGTGTTAAAGGGCAAAAATTGAACCACACGAGAAGATGACAGGGAAACACAGAGTCACTGTACCTAGGAGAATCGGTCCCTCTTCCACCATTTCAGGAGGTATACATATGATCAAGGACCAATGATATTGAAAGATGCGCCCAAGCTTCCCTGAAAGCATTGGCAAAACAAGTTCCCGGAATGGATGGAATACCAACTGAGAGGCTGCAATAGATGCAATTCTGGAAGCACTCACTCATCCCTGCCAAGAAATGTGGAAGACCTGGCCATGATTGGAAGAGATGCTTATTTGTGCCCCTTCCAAGGACAGGGGACCCTGCAGAATGCAGACGGCCATTAATATCAAAGGCAAGTACAACATAGCTGAAGGTATTTCTTAATGTATTGCAGTACAACCACAGGGAATTGCCAGAAAGCAGGCCAAGTTCAGAAAAGAATGTGGAATGAAGGACATAATTGCTGTGAGCAGGTAGGTCTTTGTTGAAAATGAGAAATACCAGAAAGATGTTTACCTGTATTTTATTGATTATACAAAGCTATTTGACTGTTTGGCTCATAGGAAGAATGAGAATTCCAGAATATTTAGCTCTGCTCCTATGGAACCTCACAGCGACCAAGAGGTGATTGTTCAAGCAGAACAGAAAAATACTTCATGGCTTAAAAGCAGAAAAGGTACGTATACTTTTTTCACTGCTCTACTGTATGCTGAGCGAATGATATACGCAGCTGGGCTCTAGGGAGAGGAGCATGGAATCAGGAATGGGGGATCCAGATGGCATAACTTTGCTGGCTGAAAGCAAAGAGGACTTGAAGCCTTTAATTATGAAGATTCAAAAAAGGACAGCCTTCAGTACGGATTACACTTCAACATAAAGAACACAAACATCTTTACAAGTCAACCAAGAAGTAACATCATGAGAAACAGAGAAACAGAGAAATGTTGATGTTGTCAAGGGTTTCATTTTACTTCGATTCACCGTCCACGCCCATTGA